CATATAAGTAAATATACATCTTTTCTTACAAATCGATAAGTAATAAATAAAGCATTGAAAGAAAAAAAGGTAATAAAATTGTTAGATTGTTTAAATAAACACCATATGAAGGACAAAAGCAATATAACCTGATTAAAAATCAAAAAGATAGGCACAAGAAAGGAAGAAGTTACATGTATCATTCTTGTTTGAATTAATTATACAGTATGAAAGTATTTCGTCGCTACCGTATCTCATGCAATAAATATAATCACTAGAAGAGATGAGCTTACCTGACAAAGCAAAAAAAGAGCATTATTAGAAGGAATAATCATATCGACGTGGGTGTAATTTACATTATAATAGCTATTCATAAGAAGAAAAAGCAATAAATACATTTAGTAACGGGAAATTTTAGATTTTAGTAGTCTCGATACTTGTCAAATCTCCCAAATCACGCGCCATTTTATTTACTGCTCTATACGCTTCCTCCCGTACAGCTTGCGCGGGATCATTACCATATAAAAATGTCAAAGCTTGTACTGCTTTTGATGACTGGAAGTATCATTAAGGTTATCATTGTTGTTACAGAATAATATAAAAACACAAACACACTTTTTTCGAAAAAAACATAAAAGCATCATCATTATTTGAATTTTAAATTTGAGAATTTGAGTAATTTCAGTTTTCGACATCAAGTTTTAACTAGTAGCTTTTTATTTCTATTTCATGACATAGCACATAAACCAGGAAGACAACTTGAATAGATCAATTAAATTCAGTATTTCTCATTTTCCCGATGTCTCTACTTTAGAATATGATCTAAGAACTTTAGAAAAAAGAAATTGGTATCTACTAGAAGACATACTCCAAGTGTGCCCAATGCGCGGCAAGCACCTTTACGACTTTGCTCATTCTCATGCTCCAAAAGGCAAATGTAACATGTTATCAGATCGTCACGTAATTGTCCACTTGCTGATAGAAGATATGTTTCTGAAAGAAAATTTGTAATTCAGTGAAATTTGCATTTCTTTTGTTCTCAATAATAATAATAACATGCTTGAAAAGTAAATTTAAAAAGGAATTTTGAAGAAGAAATTTCTTGAATAATGGAGAGAAAAAAAATGCTGCAATCGATATTTACCTATGATTGATTGCAAATTACGATCTGGGCAAACAAGCACAAGAGAAATGTATCGTAAACTTTCTAATGGTGGAACAACTGGAACTTGTGATAACCGATTCATAACTCCTTTGACAAGATTAATTTGGCGCGAGCTTAGATGTGACATTATTAATGCTGTAAAATTATGAACAGATATGATTAATCAGTAGCAACATAATGAGAGTGAAATATTTCGCATGTAAAGAAAACTACAAAAAATAAGTAATATTAAGAAATGCTATTCTAAACGCAGAATATGTTACAAATTGTGATTCCTAACCTTCATGTGCCAAATTTTCAACGAACGAAGTAACATGCTTGCCACGAAATAGATTAACAAACTGAAAGACGCTAATGTATTCTGGTTCCCACGTATTTTTGTCAGTCAGCAGCGACATCACAGTGTCAATCACTGAAATTATCACCGTATTAATAGTTTCATTGCACAACTGATTAAAATTGTTCAAATTTTAAGGCAATTTAGGGAACGAGCTCTCTTGAATTCAGTGTCATCCAGGAATTCTCAAGGAACCAACAATAGCACATACCATTATTAACTAGATCTGGGTAACGAATTTCAACCATTGATCCAAAATGACTACGAATCTGCAGCCGCAACGATTCCATCGGTACAATTAAAGTAGCATTCAATTGGAAGACTGCGGAAAGCCATACCTCTTGCACTTCCGAATCATTGGTTAACTCATATAACACTGTAATCAAAAAGAGGATTGAAAGAAGAAATACCATGGCTGGTGTTGCAGTCTTTCCAGAAAATTATAACGGAAACAAAACGTAACTGTAGAAATGAAATCAGAATATGAGCTAAATTAGATAGTCAGATAATCTGATGATACACTCTAGTCAATCGATAAATTAATTCACCATTTTTTCGAAACACTGACAAATGCTTTCTTGAAGCCAACTTGATCAATCCATTTAGTGTAGATGTTTCCTCTTCCAGTCTACCCAACATTTCATTTTCACGATACTCTAACGGACCGTAAACATTTGCTAAAGTCTGAAAATAAAGTTAATATCCTAATTATTGTCCACCATGGAATTAAATTCTCAAAAATTTCAACATGTAAAGAAACACAGGAACATCTCGGCCAACTTGACGTGAACTTAATTTTAATAAGTTTCATAGTTCCATTTTTAACAATAACTTCTCTACTGACTTTCAGAAACCAAAATTGAGAAAATTCCACTACTTTGGAATAGTCACTGATGGATACTGAATGTAAAGGCAATATTTCGCATCATAAACTTCATTATTAATGACTGACGTTAATTGAAACCACTGATAAATAACAATAAAAAGTCAACGAACCGTCAGCGTACTTAAGCATCGTTTTAAATGATGCCTAAGACAGAAGTGTAATTCTCGAGATATCCCGTTAGTTGATGTTCGATCCCACAAGCGACTCACCGAACAACCACTGGATGAGCTGTTGGAACTTGAGCGTAACCATAATTCATCCGGATTTCCAAAGTATCGGTTTTCGGAAGCTAAATCGATAATAACTCCGACAGATTTGCGCCTTTCTTTCTCCTTCATCTAAAAAAAGTTAAATTCCAAACTGTACTTGAAACTGAAAATCAAAACAGCATTTTTCTTTCTTTGGAAAATTCTTGATCAACACCAATTCTAACCTGTCTGAATCGCCTTTGTGATGGACCGGATCCGGTAACTCCAATGCAGCACGTCCTATCAATAGTCGAACAATTCTTAGCACTATATGGAGAAATATGCTGCCGCAGTGAATCAATACCGCTATCATTTTCTGATCTGTAAGAGAAAAACCGGAAATTTTTTTTCTTCACGGCGAAAGTGTTATCCTACACAGCTTTTGCATACGTCTTAATGATATGGCATTTACAACTTTATTGGAAAATTTTAATCAAAATTAAAGAAATAACAGCAAATTTTCAAGATATCAACTCCTATGAAATTGGAAATTACGAAGGCAATTTTTTTTTTAAATGATTCTAAACTAACGTCTGTTCGACACAACAAAATGCAGAATTTTCATCACGTTCATCCCGATAATCGATATCGTTCCTATTCGTCAATTCGTTCTTCCGATCAACAGATACTTCATCCTTTATCTGAAGTTTTCGCCTAATAAGAATAAAAATTAAATTTGAGCAGAAAAAGGTAATTAGCCTCGTATCATGCTGTAAATTAGCAAAAAGTGGGAATGACAAACATCTTTACCTTCAAAAATCTCTCCCAACGATTTAGGCATGATTTGTTGGTAGCAATTTCAGGATGTTTCCGAATCAGTTTTGCAATAAATGGTTTCATCAACCCGATAAGACATAACAATTCATCTTCAGTTGGTACCGAAGAAGTCGAAGAACTACGCCCACATAAATTCTGATTTGAATTTGCTACAAGTTGTGATACGCTAATTGAACGTTTCCATCCATTTTTAAGATAAAATAATTCAGGTGCATCTTTTTTCAGTTCTCCTCGTTTTGTGGGCAACACCTCCATCTATAAATTTTGCTGTTTTTTTTTTCTTTAAATTGATAAAAATGAAAGTAACCAAACGAATGATGAGATTTAAATGCAGCACTAAGACAGCTTTACCGATTTTCAGAAATTACAAAAAAAAAAAAAAGAATTCAAATTCAACGAAGAGTCGAAAGCGCTACACATAATTCCCAAGTTCGGTGTTTTAAAATAAAAACGAGTGTAAAATCCCTAATTTTAAAATACGAAAAAAAATCAAGATAAACTAACAGTGTCAATGCTTGGAATCGATTTGCTAATATCATCATAAACACTATCTAGGATATTTGTTGATGAACGCCAAATTTCTTTTTGTCGCATAAGTTGATTGTTGCGCTTTTTCTCGCGCAATAAAACTCGAGGTTTCTTCTCCTGTAAATATCTCATATAATGCAGCATGAATTTTCCTGAAATTTCAACTTAACTATACACTTGAGGACTAAGGTTTTTGTAAAAATTGGTGGAATTATTCGCAAATTGTGATTTTAAATAACTTTAAAAATTCAGGTTTCGCAATTGCTGAAAACTTTTGTAAATCATAATTCAGTTTCGAAATTTTCAAAGATATATATATATATAGCACATATAGCACCGAAAGATATATATATATATAGCACAATGTTAGTAATACACATACAACTGCATCACCGGTTGATGTATTATCCAAGAAACAATTTTCATTGGACAATGAACTGTGCGCACTACTCATACCGTTCGAATTCCTTGCATTCATTAGCGGCCTGTAATTGAATATATTTGCGTTAAGTAGCTTTTCAAAAATAGAAATTTAGAAATTTCAATTTCTAGAAGGGAAGTTGACATGGCCAAAAGCAGCACGATAAGATGTACACAACCGGAGAAGCAATAATTAGAAGATTGAACTGTTATTAACAATTAAGTAAATAAGTTACATATTTGTGTGCCACTTCAAACTAGCTTGCTCAATTGAAATGTTATTAAATTCCCATAACAGTAACCAATTAATTGGGACCATGTATCATCCTAAAAAAAGTTCCTCAAACAGTGAAAGGATAAAACATACATCCAGTGAACAACCAATTCTAATTTGAGCGTCCCAATTTGGTTCAAATTAACTGTTACCAATTGTGATTGTGAACAAAACATTTCACCTGGATCGAAAGAACGTTCGCTCAGTGTTTTCGATTTGAAAAAGCGAACCTCTGTGGCCTGCAAATTGAAATTTCTCGTTGAAGACTGAAATAACATTTGAAAATAAAAGGAATAACAGGATAATTAACATATATCCTGCAAATACCCTTTTAAAAAATTCCAACATAACGTTTTAGTCTAGTGATATAAAAAGAAAACGACCTTCGACATGCAACGACAATTTTTTTTAGATTAAAAATACTAACGAAGATCACCTTAACTTCAATAGGACAATCTGGATAACACGTAAATATAACAGAAGAGTGATCCCATCTTTGAGTCCGATCCGGTTGTGTCTTACCACGTGTCTTCCATTTTTGAGTACCATGCCTGATAGAGACTTCGAAAATATCACCAGGTGTTATGCGAGCGAATCCAATAATAGCTGCAAAATTACTGAAGCCGTTTAAGTAAATAATTTCTGAACAACTACGAATAACTCACATTCAGAAATCCCATGAAGATGGAAAAGAAAAAGCAAATTCTTTTATTAAAATTCGAATTTATAGAAATTGCAGAAGAATACGAGTGGAACAGAAAAATCCTTATAATATTCCTAAAAAATAATCACTTATTTGACCAACTAAACAAAACAAATCTTGAACAAGTTGAATGTTATCCCTGTTTCGATATAAAATTTAACATTCATCAGATGGTATAACCAGGAATTACATACATCCTAACAATGACGATTGAAAAAAACAAACCTTTAATTTCGATTTGTAAACGGCCCACCATACTGTACAATTCTAATTCAACAGCTGCCGCAGCCTGATTCAAACGTTTTGTCATCCGATTACTATTCCCAAATGATGAAATGGAACGTGTTGAACCTGCCAATAATCGTAAATCGCCAACTGATCCTCCTGAATTTATTAAATAAAAAAAATTATAAAAGAAAAAAATCCTCTACAGAAATCTTTGGCAGAATATATATATGATGTTGAGAAAATTCCAGATGAATGTGACCCATTTGACCAGAACTTCGAGTAATGTTGCCAGAAACATTTCTTTTTTGAAAATTAACATCACTTTATAAATAGTCATAAGTTGGAATGATCTAAGCTATCTTCACTACAAATACTATATCTATCTCTCTTCTATTAGCAATATCGGTCAGAACTTATCCAATGCTTGTATTTGGCAATAAAGATAATAACAAATGGACAATACTTCAATATGAGAGATTATAGGAATAGAAGTATTTCGAATTGTAGATAGGAGAGAGAGAGAGAGAGAGAGAGAGAGAGAAGAGAAGTATGGGCACTAAAAATTTACTTTTCGAGCAATTAAAATTTACCTAAAAGCTTAGACATTATATATTAGCAAAGTAAACAGAATATAACAAGTGGCGAAATTTTCTTTTACAGAAGTAAACGGAAATATTATTTTGCCTTAAACTTTAAACTTTGAACTTTATCAATTATAATATATATAATTAACAATGAGTTACAAATTCCGGAAAATTGTTGTAATGAGCATACAATACGAACTTTTGATGATAATTTTGATTCGAATATGATTATAATAATTATTTCCAGAATTTAATCAATTAAGTTACAATTCGAATAGTTTTATTGTAGTATTGAAAATATTGCAGAATTGATTAGATAAGGCATCATTATTTGATGTAAACATTTCAAGTTTGACAACCAATATTATAAGGAATTAATCAGAAAGATAAACATTATTACTGCTGCCGGCAATGAATTCTTTTGAAATGAACAAGGAAAGATATTTCTGTACAAACAAATAATGGGACATTTCATTCGTTCGTTACCTCATATACCTGAATTTAGATTGTCATAATCCATGATAATATGCGATAAAAATTTTAACACAAAAATCAATATAATATTAACAATTAATTTTAAAAATTTTGCTTCAAAACAAAATCAATTCAAAATGAATTTTGAAAGTTGCCAATGATTGTTTATATTCACTTACTTTTTCTTCGTTTCTTTTTATTCAAAAAATTAGAAAAAAAAAGAAAAAAAAGAGAGAACATATTTAAAGAACCCATTCAAATATATTTTTCAAAATGAAATATTTTAAAGCTAGTGAAGTATTCAAATTATTTTCGAAATATATAGCAGATTTAAATGGCTCAGGAAACATTCCCAATATAAACGAATCCTTGTAAACACACATTACACACTCGAGTAGTCTCAATTGATTGTAAAAACAAGAATGTTCAATGTCCTTTACTAACTGTCACAAAGACATTAAATGAATTCGTTAAATACCATTTATGCACTGATCCCATCTTTAAAGTAAAACCATTGTATGAAAGTTTTACAAGTACTAACAATGAAAATTACAACTTTCTACAAATTTAGAACGAAATGAAATTATACAAAATTGAGAGATGCAACTTTAAGATTTGATAACAGAAAACTGAAAAAAAAAAATTCTCGGTGGGAAATGAACTTTAGAATTTCAAAAATTTCAACAGACTTGTAATATCAGGAATTTCTTCTTCATTTCTTTCTTTAAAATAATAATTCCTAACTGGTAGTTTGAAAAGATTAAAATATGATCCACGAGAGCAGTGACACGATGAATTTAAAAGCAGGCGGGAACTGTTCTCACTAATATTGGATAAAAAATAGATCAAAAGTTTTGGCTAAAGTTTATTTTCAAATTATTTTTAAACTTTACGGCCACTGCTACAAATAAAAAAGCCAAAATAGTCCGTGGTCAAGAAATGGTTGAGAACTACTGCTTTCATAGAATGCTTTTACAAATAATTTTACAAATAATTTTAAAAAAAATTTTAAATTAAGTTTCAAAAATTTTAGGTTTTTTCTTTTTTGTTTTATAAAAGCAAGCGTAAAAATGTTTAATAAAGAATGTGACAGAATAATGTATTCACTTTTCTTTTCTCCCTAATTTTAGAAAACAAAATGCATGAAATAAAAATTTAATCGGGAAGATATACTTTATTCGTTTCCTATAAATTATATCCAAACATCTATCCATTCATCCATCCATTCATACATACATGCATACATACATACATACATACATGCATACATACATACATGCATACATACATACATATATACATACATACATACATACACACATACATAGAGATAGAACTTTTAATACAAAACTTTTAATACTTTTAATACTAAAGTTTTAATTATTTTATAATAATGCCTTTTTCATTCATGAAATGTAAGCTACAACAAAATCGCTTTGAAGTATTTATTGAAGTTATTTAGGCTTAATTTTTATGGAAATGAATGAATGAATTTCATGGAATTGAAGGAATTGAATGAATGGAATAAATTTGAGAATGGAAAACAATGGAAATATTACAAGTTGTATGAATGATATGAGAGAAAAGCAATAAATTTGCGTAAATTTCGAAGAAAAAAAATTAAAGGAAGAAAGCAATCATTTAGTTTGTTGAAAAATGTTCATCTTAAGATAAAATTAAAAAAAAAAAAGAAATTTATCGCATTCCTACACAATCTCTACAACTACGTTAATTTCAATTTAAATTTGTAATTAAAAGATTGGAAATAAGGATGGCATGCAATTCTTTGTCGGATATCTTTCAAATAAAAGTTTTAATAATCATTCTGTATTCGAAACAAACTTTGATTCACTCAATATATTTCCACTTTTTTCACATATTTTCCCATTTTCCTATTTCTCTCAGTTTTCCTCTCCTGTACAGTTTTATTACTTTCTACTTTCGTTTCTTCACGTTATTTTGATTAATTACCTTGGTCGATACTGGAAAATAAAGGTAATACTTACCTTTCAAATTGTTATAAACAGTAACCTGCCCAAGATATTGATCACGAAGTTTCACAATTCGATCTGCATGTTTTGAATAAAGCTGTTCGTTCTCTTCTGCTATTTTTAATTCCTAAATTATTCATATAATTTTTTTCAAAATTTTCTAATCCAACTCAACTAACACTTACTTCCTTATCTTTTTGCCCAATAAAGCAGTTTCGGGATCTAATATATCTTGTGAGGGAAAGAAAAAAGATGAGACTATTGTTATGAATGGCGTAATTCGAAAACAACAGGATATTAGTGAAAGTCGGTGTCTTTGGGGTCAAACATGAACGCAATTAATCTATCACCATAGTTGTCAACAGCTATGAACCGAATTAATTATTGTAATGTCGTCGTTGTATTCGTAACATATTCATCTTTTTCTATCCTAACATTAAAAATTATTTTCATCAAAAAAAAAAAAAAAGTTTGGAAATATGCAAAAGTTGACAAGAGGAGGGAAAAAAAAGATCTGCCATATTTTGAAAGAATTGAAACGAACTTGTTGTAAGATTCGTTGTTCATCCAAATTATCGGGATGCAATGATTCAAGTCGAGCTTTTAACCATGCCACTTCATTCGCATGATGATTCACAAATGAACTAAAATTTGAAAATTAATGAAGCAATCATTATTGATAAGCAATTATTGTATGTTTTAACTAGCAAATTGAATTTGTTCTAATTAAAAGTAATTAAATATGAAATGGAAGAGGGAGAGAGAGAGAGAGAGAGAGGA